CCTTGCTCCGAGAAAGCGGGCCTCCAGTAACTCCTGCTTCCTAGGGTCCAGGGTGGCCTGAAACTGTTCCATCTTGACGCCAGCGCCTGCAATGGACAAACAAAAGTCTCGCTGATCATCGTTATCATCACCGTTGTCGTCATCCCCCGTCATCATCGTCGTCATTATCGTTATTGCTATAGGCCGATAATTCAGTTTCGCATGCAATCGCGCCATAATCGATCTTACGATGTCAAGACATTTGACTTTTTTCGCAATACGCTCGATTACCATGGAACGCCATAAAGGCATCAAATGCAATTAAACGTGATTTCATGCGAGCGTCGATTAAAATATTTCTATAGTCAGACACCTATACACGTCAATAGCAACAATGTTGTCTTAAAATAAAAACGTCCCGTATAAAAGTTGATTTACCAAAATAAGAGATGAATGAATTTTAATAGAATTATATCGCTATTTAATAAATAACATCAATTTTACGTTAAATTCATTAAGGTTTGAAATTTAAATAAACTCAAGGCTTCTGCAATGTATATTAAAATCCTATAAATAATTGGCGGTAAGTTATTGGAGAAGATTCGTTAAGAAATTTTGAAATAAATTAATTTCAATGAATTAACAGTCATTGAAAAGTGCTGGCTTTCTCTCTCTCTCTCTCTCTCTCTCTCTCTCTCTCTCTCTCTCTCTCTGTTCAATTTCTTTGAATATGGTCATTTTAAATTCTTGATAGAGAAACGCGAGCATCACGGGTTATATCGTTCACTGCCTTTGCTGCTCAAGCAGAGTCAATAATATTATAATAAGCAAAATTTTGGAAGGAAACCAAAAGTGCGGATATGGAATTACGTCAGAATGTACTTGGCTTGTCAGCGGAGAAAATCTTTTAATTCCGAGATGCGAGAATAAGCATCGATATTTTTTTGGCAATGAGTGATCGCAAATAGACGTAAACCTGTGGAGTTACTTTATACACTGAATGATACATGTAGCAAATTTAATTTATCTCACAATATACTTGATTTGGTATAAAGATTACTTTGTTTTTTCAAGTGTTTAGAATGGAGAGAAGAGCAATGGTTCACATTAATCATGTGAATATGTGACAGAAATTATCCAGAATCTGTAATGTTCATACGGGTGCGTACAAATGACGAATAATAAATTATTATGCCTTAAAAATTTAGGATATTCTACTTTTTATAATATGTATATTTAGCATTAAATGTCATAGTCAGGATTAGGAATACTCGTGTGCATTATAATAGCGATGCATTGCTCCAATTGTACAGGACATGACTCTTAACATACCTAATTAAACCAATAACTATGTTATTTAATGAGAGCAATGGTGGTATATGAAATGTTTTACAAATTTTTCAAATAGATATCAAATTTTTGTTTTCTTTTCTTTTTTTTTTTTTTTTTGTATCATAGAATGCAGCTGGATCACACTTAAAAAGATACATTAACCATATAATTGAAATGCTTTTATACGAATGATTTTTCATTTAGCAAATATCTGACAACTGAAATTATTTAAAGTCAAATCAAAGGACCTACACACTTGATCTTTTTCTGTATATAAAAACATTGTACAATCTTTCTAAATGACTTATAATTGTCTGAATTACAGTCTAGCTCATATTAAATATAAATTAATTATTAATCATACAATGCCTATCGAATATTATAAATATTTATTTTAAAAATGGACTATTCATTAAACATTGCAAATAATTCAATCGCATCGAACACAATAAATATGTAATGATTTTCATTTTACCATCCAATTTTGATGTATTGACTGTAGTTATGCTTATCGGATTCATTTCTCTTTTTTTTTCTTTCTTACCAACGAATTGTAATATTAAAAATTAAAAATTATTAATTTGTTTTGTTATGTATGAAATTTTGTATTTATTCAAGTAACCACAATAACATTGTATTATATATATATATATATATATATATATTTATATATAATGATAATGATGATGATGATAATAATAATAATAATAATAATAATAATAATAATAATAATAATAATAAACTGGGTTTCAAGGTAATGGAATAAGATAATCAATTGATATTTATAATATATAATTCTAATTACATTTTTGTATACTAAATTTCTAAATTTAGTTTAAATAAATAGTGACATGTAACATTTTCATAGGATCATTTCCTATCAAGAATGGCAAAATATTTTCTTAACCTACTGCTTAGAAACAAATTATAAATATTATTATCGATATAAATACATTTTTACGTACTTAAAAAAAAAAAAAAAACGTTATTTCTTGTTTAAAAGTTTATAGACATGATTACAGTTACCTTTATACGATAATGTAATATGTAATTTCGATAACATTTACCACTTTCAACTTAATTTTTACTACTTAAACTTATTCAAATTATTTATTTGATGGCGAATTATTTTTTAAATTATTTCATAAACTTTAGAATAATTAACAATGTTTGTCTATTCAATAATAATATTAGTATTTAAAGCGAAGCATATTTATACATTCAAATCCATTTTATGACCACGATGTTAATATTTATAGCAAATAAATCGATAGCTATGTCTATACATACATTTTTGTGATTGTTTAATTAAAAAGAACTTAAAGAAAAAACATGTACTAACGATTATATATATATATATATATTTTTTTTTTTAATGTAACTTATATGTACATTTTATTTTAAATAAAGATTTTAACGGCATAATAATAGTACATTATTTAATGTAATATGTGCTTTATGAAATCTAAATTTGAAATTGTATTTTTACAATATTACCAATCCTTTGTTGACGAGTTATGTTATTTTTTAATCAAATACTTAATCAAATATTTCATTGTAATATTGAATAAATATTAATAGAGATTACGAAATCAATTTAATCGAAATTTCTTAGGTTATTGATACGATTAACTTCTGTCATTTATATGTCATTTGTCATAAATATGTTGTTCATATATTTCCCATATCTTCCCTAGTTTAAAAAAAAAAAAAAATAAAAAATAACTTCTCAATATATCAGAATTAAATAAAAGATTATTATTTTTAAATACTAAATTTTTACTCAGTGCAACGTTTGGTGACTTAAGTCCCTTTAATATTCCGTTATCTATTTACATCAAATCATATATTCTTTTCCCGATTCTTAATCATATTTTTATGCTAAAATAACGACTTTCGAGATGGATCGAACTATTGGATTATAAAGAAGAGGTAATTACTTAGAATAAAACTATTTTCAAGTCATAGAATTGGAAAGATCGATATTAAATGGACATATTGCGTTAAACAAATATCAGCCACCACGTACACTTTTTATTAGTAATATTTTAATAAACTAATTAAAATGGTGTATAATTTGGATTAATGTATAATATGTATACACGAATATACAAATTAAGTATATTATGAATTTGCACAGTAAAATATCATTCGACAATTTTACTTTATGTAATTGCTAATTTGATCCAAATCCACAGTATTTTGCCTGGGATTCTACTTACTTATACGTTTATACCTTCACTATGTTTAACAAAACATCGAACATGGATGAAAACTATATAAATACATTATACTATCTAAGTCTGATTATTTAAAGGCATAATAAATTTTATGCTACTTTCATGAGAATAATAAAGCTAATTTCAATTTATTTATTTTTTTTTTTTTTTTTAACTAACTTTTAGCCTATCTTTAAGCCCTTCGACATTAAAGCATAATGTATTATAAAATTTAAATCCAAGATTTCTAAATTAAGATTTTTAAATTACCTTTCTTTCATCTGCTATTTATCAAGTTTTACTTTCTTTTTTCTGCCTCTATTTTTAATGTAATTTGAAGATATTTAAATGTTTTCACATTAAATATAAGCATCTGTAACAAACTCATTTAATCGATGCATAATTCCGGACACAAAGGGCACCAACCACTACACGGAAACCATCCTTTTCATGACCCACATCCTCAACGAAAGCCGATGAAAGCAGCAAAAGGCAATAACCAAAATACCCACTACTCAAGTGTGCGTCAATCCCCGAAAGCTCGACGAATCCTCGGAAGCCGGTCTCCTCACGGGTCGGCATCGGCATGATTGGCACGTCGACCTGGGCGATCGATTCGCCCTCCACGTTGATTTTGGGAACGCGGATCTACACGTATGCCAAGATCTTTGGCGTACGGCGAATGGGAGGCAAAAAGTAGTCCGCCAGAGGTCCCCAGTCTACGGTCAAAGACCGTGAGCCCAGTGACATTTTCGAAGTACAGAACACAGGAGAGAGGGGATTATGCCTTTTGCTAGGAGAAGATGACACCGATGGCTTGGCCGGCTAATTAATTATTAACGAGGACCTCGCGATTATGTCGCTCACGCGAGAATCTCTGATTTGCCTTCGAGCGTGCATTGCGGGTAGGAAGCAAAAGCCTAATGCATCATAAATAAGGACGCGCTGCTCGACTAGGATATATTTATGGAATATTGTACTTTCGTATATGAGAGAATAAAAGTAAGCCATTAAAACTGTCTTCAAAGAGTGTTGAGAATTAATTTCCGATTATTATGGTTGTAGACGATTAAAAATGTAAAATTTGATCGTTAATACTCCTCGAATTGCCGTAAATATTTCAACAAATACAATAAACTTACTTTAAACTCAATGTTACGGCCATCGATTATACATTTTTACAATAATTACTGGTGAACAATTGCACCCTCGAGCTCGCAGAGATAACGGATTTATAAGTACGCGCGCCGTTGATTGTCGTGATGCGGGGAAAAAGTTGTTACATGCTCATTTCGTCTATAATGTTAAAGCAGGATTATTGGCTTTTTAAAAACTGTGCACCTTTAATGAAAATGAACGCATGAAGCATGAAGCAATTAATGAAATTAATTATCCACTCTCATTATCTTATTTTTCAAATATGGTTTAACTTAATTTAAGACTTTCTACAATAAGTTGTGCTAAATTTCCTCAAAGTTTAGTGCTGAAAGTCATTCGGGGCAATAAAGTCGTTGAAAGCCGATATAATATAATATTTGAAATGCAGTGTAATTAAA